TCTTTATTGCCCAAACGCTGAGTCAGCATTCACTCTATAGTAATCCAGACATATTCTTTGAGCTAAAGACTAAAAGTAAATACATTTGTTTGTCCTGCGAGCTTGATGACAAACAGCTGTGGAAGTCTCTTCTGGGTGACCTTTGACCTCCGAGACTCACATGCTGGTTGTCCTCGATCTCCTGCAGAGCCCTGATCTCCCTCAGAGCCTGGTTGGGGATGCCGTCCTCCAGCCTCCTCAGAGCCACCTTCTTCAGAGCCACAGTCTCTCCTGTCTGACAGAAAACACCGATTATCATGTAGCTGTGCGGGAGCAGCTCTGCAGGTGAATCAGCTGCAGGTACCTCGATGTGTTTGGCCTTGAACACGACGCCATGAGCTCCTTCTCCAATCCGACCCAGAATGCTGTACTGCTCCATCCCTCAGTGAACGATTCCGATTAAAACTGAAGCTTAACTCAACAGTTAACTAGTAAATACAATGTTTGATCAGTGAAGTCAGTGAGTTTGAGGTAGAGTTTGTCTGAAACACGAGTCCATCTTTCTCCATCAGGACACAGGTCTGGGAACCAAACTCCGTTAATAAATGAAGCCGTTCAGGACATTTGACGTTTCAGTCCGATAAAACATAAAGTTATTAAACATTTACAGACACCAGGACAAAAATAAAACGCGTTAATTTAGATCGGTTGAAAAACGGGCAACAAAAACAGTTTGGTTCGAACGAAATACCTCCTTTACACCAAAACAGCCTCCGGATGTTGGCTAGCTAACTCGTGTTGCCATGGTAACCCGGTGGCTAAGCTAACTGCGCTAACAGCGTCAAACCAAAGATCCTGAGACGCGAAGAGTCCGAGTCCAAACTGAACTGTTGACTCCACAGATATCATATAAAAGATTATATATATATATATATTATATTAAAACTGCGAGCAAAGCGGATAAAAAATACGATCCTTCAACAGCAGCCATGTTGTTCTACTGTCACGTGACGGACTTCTTCTTCTTCTTCTTCTTCTT